TAATAGAACTCCACACTGCTATTATTTTAAACATGCCCCTTTCAATTAGTGATTCAATTACACAGAATCAGCAGCATGCATGTCTTGACTGTTGGGTCTGTTGGATTTCTATTACTCTACTACACCTGCTAGTAAATTATTTGCCATGTAGAAATATCATTTCTACCAAAAACAGTGATTGATCAGGTTAGTGATGTCTGACTGCTATTATTTTGAACACAACTGTATATATATATATATCACTGATATCTGTACACTGACTGCTATTCTTTACATATAACACAGATATCTGTACACTGAGTGCCTTTCCATATGTACATACATATCACTGACATCTGTACACTGAGTGCCACTCCAATCTAGTCAAAGATAATTTAGGAAAAAACCTGAATGGGGATTTTTCAGTTTTGTAGCTCTGGACTAGATATTCCATTATCAATTCTCCACAATTCTTTATGTGAGTTTCTAAGCTTCTGTTTCATTTCTTGTACACTCCGGAGTCTTATATTTCCTGTTACTGGCTTATTATGTTTTCAACATCAGTGCAGAACCACCTTTTCAGAGACAGGTGAAATTCACCTGAACTGCCAACATAGTAGTCTGTTAAAGCATGTTTTTTTTTTTTTTTTCTTTTGCAACTGTCCATGACAAGGGACACTTGTTCCTTATTCTCTCATCAGGTATAAAAAAGAAATTGCCAATGTTTGGAACTTATAAGCATAAAAGTGGTACTATGAAAAGAAAACTAAGTAGGCAAAGAAGACAAAATGAGGCATCTACTAGCAAAATTGATTCATTCTTTGGTAAAAAAAAAAAACAGATGATGTTCATCAAGAAGATGCTCCTGTTGGGATCAGTGATGAACCACTGGAATTGGTGACTGAAGCAGATGTAGATCTTGAGTAAAATGTTGAAATTGATCTACCGACTGGAAAAGATACATTGGAACCTCTGCCTACCAAAATTCCATCTGGAGTGGAGAAATCACCATTAACCACTTGACCTCCAGAGGATTTACCCCCCTTAATGACCAGGCCTCTTTTTGCTACTCGGCGCTGCACTAATTCAACTGATAATTGTGCGGTCATGCAATGCTGCACCCAAACGAAATTTACGGCCTTTTTTTCACACAAATAGAGCTTTCTTTTGGTGGTATTCGATCACCTGTGCGCTTTTTATTTTTCACGCTATAAACAAAAAAAAAGCCCAAAAATTTTGAAGAAAAACAATATTTTTTACTTTCAGCTATAAAAAATATATAGTAAACTCAAAATTGGTTATAAATTTAGGCCAAAATGTATTCTGCTCCGTTTGTGGTTAAAAAAATCCCAATAAGTGTATATTGATTGCTTTGTGTGAAAGTTATAGCATCTACAAACTATGGTATAGATGCTGCAATTTACGACATTTTTTTGCTATACAGCGCTGCGCTAGTTCAATGGACAATTGCGCGGTCATGCAATACAGTACATAAATTAAATTTACATCCTTTTTTTCCCCACAAAATTGAGCTTTCTTTTGGTGGTATTTGATCGCCTGTGCGGTTTTTATTTTTTGCGCTATAAAAAAAAGGCTGACAATTTTGAGGAAAAAAAAACAATATTTTGGACTTTTTGCTATAAAATATGTCCAGTAAAAAAAAAAATTAAAAAATCTAATTTAGTCATAAATTTCTGCCAAAATGCATTCTGCGACATGTCTTTGCTAAAAAAAAAAAAACCCAATACATGTATATTAATTGGTTTACGTGAAAGTTATAGCGTTTACAAATGGCGGGAAAGATACTGTGATTTTTAGGTTTTTATTATACTAATAATGGCGGCGATCAGCGACTTATGGCAGTGATCAGGGACTTATGGCAGCGATCAGCGACTTATGGCGGGACTGCTGCAGACATTCTGACATTGGGGGGTACTGACTTGGGGTCACTGACATCCCCAGTGACACCAATACAGTGATCAGTGCAAAAAAAAAACACTGACACTGTACTAATGGCACTGGGGAGGAAGGGGTTAAGTTTATTTTTCAGGGAAGGGTTATCTGTGTGAGGGGGAGTGTTTTACTAGGGGGTGGGGGTGTGTACTGCACTGGACACCGCTGATCTGGAGAGAGAAACTCTTCTGTCCCAATCAGCTTGTCCTGGAGCTGTCAGGGAACTGACAGAAAGCACAGCTACTGCAGCTGTGCTCTCTGTCAGCTATTGCCGCCGATCGCCGGGACATAGCCGGTAACGATCGGCTGTGATCCGGCGACTGACATCTGCGGCTGTGATCGGCGGGACAGGTAGGGAGGCAGCGCCTCGAGCCCGCCCCCTATATGTTTACAAAACACGCGTTTTTAAACGTGGTTTTGCCTGCCCGTGCCGCCCTGCCGCCGTATTTCTACAGTGGCTGGGCGGCATGTGGTTAAAAGAAGATTACTTTCTCTTTTCCCAAGACTTGCATAAAGCAGGAATTACGAGGGAAATGTTTTGGGACTTCCATTCTAACCAGCCCACAGAAAACATACCATTTAATGGTAATATTTTTTATTACTGAAAAGGCATACAAAGGTCCAGCATTCAAAGAAAATGGGTCACACTTAATGAGAAAAAAAACAGTGTACATTGTTCCATTTGCTTATATTATGGCCAGGAAAAGTATAAGCAGACTCAGTTAATACAAGGTTGCAATGACTAGAGACACATCACAGCAAGATTAATGGAACATGAAACTCACAATGCCATAAACTTGCAAGTCATGCCTATTTTGTTAATATGAGAGGCAAATCTATTAAGCACAAATTAAGTAGTCAGATGTCTCTAAGAAATCAGTGTTTGATAAGAACCATCTTGAAAATCGAGGTAATTTTCTGACTAGTGTGAAAAGTCTTGCTGACTACAGTCCAGTCTTGAAGAAGTGCCTAACTAATATTGTAGAGAAAGCAAAGAGCCGTGATCCAGAGAAAAAGGGAAAAGGGAGGTTTGTAACTTTCCTAAGTAAATCTACTATAACAAAGTTATGTGTGATTATGATAAAGGAGGAAATAGTAAAAGAAGTAGATAATTCTGGACTGTTTTCAATTCAAATGGACTCCACGCAAGATTTTTCAACTCATAATCAGTGTGTTATTGTTGTTCAGTATGCTGCTGGTGATAGAGTCAAGGAAAGATTATTAACTTTTGTTAGTGTTGAAGATTCCAGCAGTAAAAACCTACATGCCTTACACACTGAATCATTGTCTGCTTTAGGACTTATTCTAGAAAAGTGCATAGGTGACTATTTTGATGGAGAGTGGAACTTACTCAGGCTTGCAAGCATTAATGAAGGAAGTTCTCCATACGCATATTCACACATAGTGTTTCGCACATGTACTCAACTTGGTTATTGGCGATGCAAGTAGTGTGTGTGTTCCATCAATTAGTCTATTTGGGCTCCTTAGCAACCTATCAACATTTTTTACAGATTCATACAAAAGGATGATACTCCGGGAAGACCAAGTGAAACAAAAGACTGGCAGTTCTAAATTTAAAAAGCTGGATTGGCAGAACAAGGTGGTCAACTAGTGATCAAGACAGCTTCTCTGTAACGGAACCACTCCTGCCTCATGACAAAGCAAGGAAACTGATGGTGGGTGAGTCACAGTCCTCTGTCCCAAAGCCACACTGTTCCTCTACTAAAACCCTATTCTCCCTCTGGCTGCTAAGACAGAGCCCTGAGAAGAGGCTGATGAGTGGGATGGAGAAGCTCAGGATGGCGGCTTCTCTCCCCTGTTACCTTTAACTGCAGCCAAAGCCCACACAGAGGAGGAATCAGAACTTACTTTAAAACATATTATGGACTCAATCCAGACATGTCAGACTGCCCTGACTAATACAAATAGAAACAGTTCGGCTGGACCTTTCTATGGTGAAGCATGATATGCAGAAAATCTGTTCCCGGATCTCTAATGTGGAATAACGGATTAGTGACATTGAGGATACTTTGCACCCTCTGTCTGCTGACTCGCAGGCCCAGCAATCTGCCCTAAATGACCACTTTGCAAAACTGGGAGACCTTCAAGACCATCTTAGGCACAATAATTTGTGATTTATAGGTTTCCCAGAGGGAGTGGAAGGTAAAGAACCTGAAGTCTTTCTGGAAAATTGATTGAAATCTCTAGTACCAACACCACCTTGTCTTCTTTGTTCGCTATCGAGTGCGCGCATAGGGTTCCTATGAGTTCATCGCCTACTGGGGCTCCGCCGAGACCTTTATTGGCGAAATTGATCCATTTTAAGGATAAAGAGCATATTCTGTGTGCTGCTCGCACTCTTCCTGAAATCAAGTTTAATGGAAGCCAAGTCTCCATCTTTCCGGACTTCTCAGCTAACACTCAAAAACAGAGAGCAGCTTTTACAGAAGTGAAAAGGCGTCTTAGAGATAAGCAACTCAGTTACAGTATGATTATCCTGCTAAACTGAAGGTCATCAATGAGCAGTTCTTTGTGTCACCCTTTGAAGCATCTGAATGGTTAGACAGTTTGGGCTTAACAAGGTTTTTTCAGGCCCTTAGTATCCGTTAAACACCTATTTACTTCCTGTTGTCTTTGCTGATTGCTAAACTTTACAGGTTTATTCCGCTCAAGATGATAGCTCTATATTAATGGAAATGCTCACACTGCTGTGCATGATGGATATCTTCACCCTGGAAACCAAATCCTGGTTCTGCTGAGATATGGTTACACCTGGCGTACTTTATTGTTATCCTAAAATTATTGAGTTATGAGAAAGACAGACAGTCTTATAGTTGTGAATTTGGTAATAAATCTGCTAAAGGTGCTTTTTTTGGTCTTCTATGACGAGACTTATTTAAATTATTTATGTACTTTTTTCTTTGTTTCTATTTTTTGGCTTTGGTCTTTAGCCATTATATGTTTAACCACCTCCCGCCCGCCATATAGTAATATGACGGACGCAAAGTGGTTCTCTCATTCTGGGAGGATGTCATATGATGTCCTCCCATTCTCACCACGCATGCGCGGCTCAGGGAGCGGGCAGTGCGGCGATCGGCGGTGTGCTGTGTCCCTTGGACACAGCGGATCACCGATCACGGAAAGAGCTGAAGATGTCGGCTCGGTCATGTGATCCAATCACAGCTGATCACATGTAAAGAGGGAAATGCTGGTTATCGGCATTTCTCTCATCTCGAGCTGTCACGCTGACAGCTCGAGAGGAGAGCTGGTAATCGGCTTTCCACGGAGGGGACATGTACACTAATCATCAGAGCACTGATGATCAGTGTGCCCTGATGATCAGTGTAGCCCCAGCAGTGCCACCTGTCAGTGTCCATCAGTGCCTTGTGTCAGTGCTCATCAGTGCCTTGTGCCAGTACCCATCAGTACCACATCAATGCCACATATCAGTGCCCATCTGAGCTGCCTTTCAGTGCCACCCATCAGTGCCAGTCAGTGCCACCTATCAATGCCAATCAGTGCTGCCAATCAGTGCCACCTATCAGTGCCAGTCAGTGCCGCCTATCAGTGCGCATCAGTGCCGCCTATCAGTGCCACCTATCAGTACCTGTCAGTACCGCCTATCAGCGCCAGTCAGTGCTGCCTAACAGTGCCAATCAGTGCCGTCTATCAGTGCCAGTCAGTGCCGCCTATCAGTGCCATGTATCAGTGCTGCCTTTCAGTGCCCATCAGTGCCACCTACCAGTGCCTCCTCATCAGTGCCCATCAGTGCCACCTATCAGTGCCCAGTGCAATCAGTGCTGCTGCAGCCTCATTAGCGCACATCAGTGAAGGAGAAAAATCACTTATTTACAAAATTTTATAACAAAAACTAAGAAAATTGGGGTTTTTTTTACATTTTCAATGGTTTTTGGTTTGTTTAAGAAAAAAAAAACCAGAGTTGATTAAATACCACCAAAATAAAGCTCTATCTGTCACAAAAAAATGATAAAAATGTCATATGAGTACAGTTGTGCATGACTGCGCAATTGTCATTCAAAATGTGTCAGCACTGAAAGCTGGAAATTGGCCTGGGCAGGAAGGGGGTATAAGTGCCCTGTAGGCTTGTGGATAAGAGGAGCACTACTCTCTTTGTTTACAGGGCTGTCTAGTCATGTCCCATAATGGTTTTGTGGTTATAGAGATAAAGCTTGTTGTAATTTGGGGCAAAGAGCCGGGAGGGGAGTTGGGAAAATTTGGTTACTGTTTGTGTTATGTTTTGTTTAATTTAACCTACTGGTCTAACTGGTTCACTGTTACACATGGATGTATGCAGTATTCAGGGTCTTTCCTTTTACCTTCTGTAAGCCACTACCAGCCGGGTCCTCTGTCATGCAGATATACTCTAACTTCGCAATAAACTGAGCTTGTAATATTTCCTCCTCCCCGATCCCCCACTCACGACTTTACCATTAAGATCAACAGCACGACTATTGGTCCTTCCCCTCATGCCAGGGTGCTAGGCATAATCCTAGACTCTGACCTCTCCTTTGGGTTCCACATCCACTCACTGGATAAATCCTGCCACCTCAACCTCCGGAACATTTTCAAAATCTGCACCTTCCTGACCAATGACATCACAAAACAACTCACCAACACCTTGGTTATATCCCGCCTCGATTACTGCAACTCCCTCCTCCCTGGTCTACCATTACACAGGCTATCCCCCCTTCAGTCTATTATGAATGCTGCTGCTAGACTCATACACCTTACCAACCCATCAGCGACTGCTGCCCCTCTCTGCCAATCCCTCCACTGGCTTCCACTAACCCAAGGTATAAAATTCAAAATACTAACCAAAGCTTACAAAGCCATCCACAACACTGCCCCTAGTTACATCGCCAACCTCATCCACAGATACCGCCCAAATCGCCCACTCCGCTCCTCCCATGATATCCTCCTCTCTAGCTCCCTCATCACCTCCTCCCACACTCACCTCCAGGACTTCTCCAGAGCCTCTCCCAACCTCTGGAACTCCCTACCACAGCATGTCCGGTCAACCCCCACCCTGTCTGCCTTTATGCGATCTTTGAAAACTCACTTCTTCAGGGAAGCCTACACCACCTCCACCTAAGAACTGTACTTGAATCACCTCCACCAGATCATCCCCCGCAGCTATCACCTTTTGTATCACCTCCCCTTCCTTTAGATTGTAAGCTCCACGAGCAGGGCCCTCCTATTCCTTCTCTACTTAAATGTATTGTAATTGTACTGTCTCCCTTATATTGTAAAGCACTGCGCAAACTGTTGGCGCTATACAAATCCTGTATAATAATAATAATAATAATCTCTATCCACTTTAATATGAATCTTAACCTCCCTAGCGGTATGATTATGTCAATATTTCTGTGCTCAAAGCGGTACATTTTTTTGCATGAAAATATGTTGTTTTTTTATTGTAGGCCTGTAATTTTTAGGAATAACTCACTGAAATCTGTTTGAACAAGAGTCTAGTAAACATCCTGGGTATGATAAACTTTGAAACACGAAATCATAAATTTCTTTAACTATGCTTCAACTACCTAACTCACAAGGCGGTTTGGTGTTACTGAATCCACACTTATATTATTTGGCCTCTCAGCTGGTTTTTATACATTGGTGGATTTTTCTGCAAATAAATAATGCAGCTACAGAGGCAGCTCTGGCTTCTTCCTACGAAACGCTGACAAACTTAATCTATAGATAAACTACCCCAATATGGGATGGAATGGATTTGCTGAAGGTATGGCCATGCAACCATGCGACCAGATATTTTTCATTCTGTTTCACCCAATCAAACAATTTGGTTCAAAGTTACTTTCCCTCAATTTCTCACTCTACCAGATGCACACTTGTGGATTCAAAAGAGTTTGAAATATGTACATCAGCTGTACGTTGATGGTTCATTTATGTCATTTGCCCATTTACAATTGGAATTTCAGGTGCAAGGTACATGGTTTTTTAGGTACCTTCAATTAATACATGCAGCCACATCTCAGTTAGGACTCAGGAATGTACAATTTAATAACTCAGTACTGGAAAATTCACTGTTAAACTCTGAATACTCTAAGCTTATCTCTTCTTATTATGGTATTTTACTAAAGGGTACTCCTACACGTCTACACGTCCTACAATTCCGTTGGACACAAGATATCCCGGACCTTTCAGATGAACACAGGGATGAAATCCTTCATAATTACTTCACTACTACTATTTCTGCAAGGGATAGATTGATTCAATTATGTATTTTTCACAGAATGTATTATATACCCTTGAGGCTCTTTCAGATGCACAAGAAAGATAACCCTGAATGTCATAAATGTAATAATTCTAGGTGAGATCTTCTTCACATGCTTTGGAGCTGTGAAAAGATTCAACCCTTTTGGTCACAGGCTACCCAGTTTCTTGCTATCCATTTTGATTTACCGAATGTTTGTAATCCCAAATGGTGTATATTAGGGGTGTTAAAATATATAGACCTCAGCTCCTATCAGAAACAATTTCTTCATTATCTATTATTTTATGACAGGAAAACGGTGGTACAAAATGGGTTCAATCTGAAGTAATTTATATTAGTATATTGAAACATTTGATTAACCAGGTATTGCCACTTTACAAGTTGACCTATGAGGCCAGGAGATGTCTTAAAAAATTTGACCAAATATGGGGTCCATGGATAGAGCTATTTGATACTTGTGTGGAGTCAGATACATGATTAATGCTCCTTTTTTTTAACCCATTGACGCTGACATCACACAAATATGCAGCCTCACGGAACTGGGCTTTTTTCCGTGGGGCCGCATATTTGTGCACCTGTCTTTGCCGCACTGCGTACTCCCAGCACAAAGACCATGGTGTCACTGAGAGCCATGGGTCCCGTTCTAATGATCGAGACCCAGGACTCCCGATTCCGGGTCACATGATCGCTGTGATAGCCTCTGATTGGCTATCACAATGATCAGTCACTGTGCAGCCCGGTCCCCTTTTTTTTTTTTCTCTCTCTATGAATGGAGAAGAGAGATACATTGTATCTCTCTAACTCCTGGCATAGAGAGAAAAAAAATGTTTGTTAAAAAAAAAAAAAAAGGATAAATAAAGAAATATTTAAAAATAAGGGGGCGTGGTCTGCCGCGTGTGGAAGATGGCTGCTTAGCCCGAGAGCTCCCGCTGGCCGGAACCCTCTTCACCGCTGTACAGAGGAGCTGGGTGAGAGAGAGCTGTCACAGGATGGGGAAGACGGACCGGATATCATCCGGTGCCCGATCATGATCCCCACGGAGTCACAATGCCCAGGGGAGACACATAAAGGAGCTCTTCCGCTCCCAGAAGCAGAGAGAGGGACTGCAGCCATCTCCTTCTCCCTCTGCACCCCCCTCCCCCCCCCCCCTCTACAGCCGCAGACATGGCTAATTCCTCCTGCTCTGCCACGCACGCAGCTCCAGACACTGTGCCCCAGCATGACATCCCTTCTGCCTCCCAATCCCTGTCCTTAAGGGATCTTCAGGCTGTGGCTGCTGACATCAAAGCTACCCTGACTACCACACTAACTACCGCTCTTAGTGATTTACGTGAAGACATACAGGCAATGGGTTCAAGATTGGATCAGGTGGAATCCGCTTCCAGGCAAAACAAGTCCGCCATTTTTGATGTACAGCAAAAATCAGCGATACACGCTTCTACTATTAGGGAACTCTATAGGCATATTGAGGATTTAGACAACCGGGGCCGCAGACATAACATTAGAATCCGCGGCCTCCCAGAATCAGTGGAATCTACCGATATCTCCAAAGTGGTAATGGCCATATTTAATGACCTCCTTGGTCGCCTGCCAGCAACCCCGATTGACATCGAACGTGTACACAGAGCGATCCGCCCTAGGAGGGGAGACGCAGACCCACCCAGGGATATTGTTTGCTGTCTAGTCAGTTTTCCGCTCAAAGAGGATATCCTCCGATGTGCTAGAGACAGAAGGCATCTTTTATATGGGGGAGCAGAAATACAACTATTTCAGGACTTATCCAGCATTACCCTACGACAACGGCGCGCGTTACGCCCCCCTTTTGGATACGCTCCACTCACGTAACATTCTCTACAGATGAAGGTTTCCCTTCTGCCTCTCTGTACAAGCTAACAGTCGTACCTACAACTTGCGAAACCCTGAAGAATTGCCATCTTTCTGCACCTCCCTGGGCATCGCCAGCCCAGGATTTAGGATTTGAAGACAGCGCTATGGATTGGCTTGGCCAATCTCATCGTAGGGGTCGATGATCCCATCGACTCCTCCGAGACTCCCCACAGGGGGAGCAACAGCCGTCTTCAGCCCGACGGCCTCTCCGGCGCACAGGAAGCCACGGCACAAAATCTAAGAGTCTATGATCCTCAATCAATCCTGACTTTCCGGCGCACATTTTACCAAGTGCCTAAGCTCTTCCAACGTTTCGCACATTTTCTCACCGTTTCGCCCCAAGAGTTCCAGTTATTCACCTACTCACG